CTGCTAAATCAGTTTCAAAATAAACATCAGAACTGGGTTTGTTTGGTAAGAGTGTCTAATGCAATATTTATTTTTTGTTATAAATAGTATGTCTTGTAAGATTTTTTACCAATTTACAGACAAAATTTCACAACTGTCAATTTTTTGTAACTATAAAATGTAACTTACAAGTTATAAGGATATAAGGAAATGACCAAGAGACAAAGATCCACAGCAAGTTTCCTTGAAAGAAGAAAAGTGACTTTTCCTGACCCAGTCTGGCCACCCCTGCGAAAATGATCTGGCTTCGACACTGCTGTCATGATAAGCAATAAATCAATTGATTACACAATAAATTAACATGAGATCTATCATTTTCATTTGCCTGTTTCCTTATATTCCTTATATATAGTTCTTTATATTAGTTTAAAATGGTCTCAAAACAATATTATCATTTATCACAATAATTTGAGACAATTTATTGTCCAGTAAAATGTGTTATCATGAAAGGCCTGCTGATGATACAGTAGATGAAACAATCTCAATTAACTGCAACATCAGGAAGAAAGAACATGTGAAGCTCAAAATACCCGGAGCTGAAAGAGAAACTGTGGAGAGTCAAAGCCACTGTGGTGCCAGTGGTCACTGGAGCACTCAGTGCTGTGACCCCCAAACTGGAAGAGTGGTTCTGTTGCAGCCTCAAGCAGTTTTTTTTAGGTTTGACTTTCCCATCACACAAAACTGGAGACAGAGAGAAAATTGTAAATTATAACTATTGGTGAAATAAAAATTTTAAAATAGTATTTTAAAAGGAGTGATTATAAGTTGATTTCAGTGATGCATTAGACAGGATTCCCACAAATACTCTTGTAACAAGAACTGTCCCAAACATTTGGTCACCAGGGTTCAGTTCATTAGATCTGCTTACTTCAAAAAAACAATTGGTAGTCATTCTTAAATAGCCAGACAAAACCAGCACAGAGTTTGTGCTGGTATTGTCTGGTTGTAGTGGTGAAGATCATTATCAGGTTTCAAACCAGGAAGTGAAGTCAGCTGCCTGATTTTCCAGTGCATTCTCTTTCACTGCCCATCCTCATGATTCTTCTCTACCATGTGCTCTAAACACAGACACGGATCGGGGACTAAGGAGAGGTCCGATCTTTCCTCAAACATACTGGACACCCACTCGCCCTGTACTAAGAATGAGCCCTTTCCTCTAGTCTAGATGGAGTATAGGGAGCGTTGAAGATACACTGCCAAGCTTATATTCAGGGAAGGGAGCAAATCCAATAAACACCACAAACCAAACAAAAATAAATAAAACCCATCACAGTGGTCTGTGACATTTCCAGCAGATCCCTGAACAACCTCAGAGATCTCAGTCCAGAAGAGCGCAGGCTTAAGAGCAACTAAAGCTGTGCTCACACTGCAGGTCTTATTGCTCTATTCGGACTTTTCACAGACAACTGATTTTTAGTGAGTTTGTTCACACTACTGAAGTGTAACCTCCATCAGACTCCAGTCTATTCCAGTGTTTCCCAAAGTTTTTTTTTCTAGTGACACTTATTTTGAAACGGAAAAAATATTGTGACCCTGTTTAGGTTTATTTATAGTTTTTGAAAACGTGTGTGCTTTTAAAAAGATTTAAAAGAGTCTCTAAAGCTTCAGGTTGGTTTATACAATTACAAATAATCTTAAAATTTAACTTAATTTGAATGCATGTCTTCTTGGAAACAATTTACACATTTTGAAAGTATTTGGACAAAAATATTTTAGAATAAGGCAGAAAAACAATCTTTTTATTTGTCTCTTAAACAAAAAGAAAAAAAAATTAAACCTTGGACTGAGGATCCACAGAAATTATATTAACATCTGCTGCACGAAACTAGATCAGATAATTATTTCACTGTCGCTGACTGAACCACAACTTCAGAATCAACATGCTAACTAGTAGCAACCATATTTACTTCTGTAAACAGTGCGCTAAAYGTGACAACACGTCTTCTTCTGCACATGTGTGCAGTGTGAACGTAGCCCAAGTTTCAACATGGTGGATAAATATTTACACCAGTTGTGTCCATTACGTAGATCGCGATCTACCAGTAGCTCTCGGAGGCAGTGTAGGTAGATCGCCTTATTTGTCATAAAAAATACAGGAGATCTCGATGATAGGTTGTCATCCAAATGCTTTGCATTATGGTTTTTCTGCAATTAGGCAAGTGCTATATTTAGGTTTTTGTTAAAGATGTTACTTGCCATGATGTGAAAAAAATATAAAGTCAGTTTCTTATTTGTTTTTGGTTTAAATAAACAATAAACATTTAACTGGTAGTACAAATGTGAAGTGTTACCTTGGATAGAAAAGTAGATCTCGGCAAAAYGGCAGCCTCAAAAGTAGATCTTGGTTTAAAAAAACAATGTGAATGTAAGTAAAAAACTGATTATGCTCTGCAGTGTGAACGTAGCCCAAGTTTCAACATGGTGGATAAATATTTACACTATTAAAGAAAAGCAACTACGCTCCCTCGTGTGGCTCAGTGATGAACTTCATGCATGATTCTTGAGAAGAGAAGAACGTTTTTAACAAATCAATTTGGAAATCAATAGAAAAACCCTTACAGCCCCAGTGTAGGTCGGGACCCTAACTTTGGGAATTAATAATTTGTAGCTTTGATGCGACCCACATGTCTACATGTCAAGTTGTACAAATTATCCGCAAGTTAGATTTTCCAGCTTTTTGCACGTGTACAAGAAAATCTCACAGATTTTTTTTCCCAAACTCAGCTTCAAACTTTTTTACATCTCAGAG